TGTCACACAAGCGAATGTTTGACAATTCACTATAACGTAGAAATCCAGAAAAACCCAAAAGGCACATGAGGAATGTTCGTAACTTCAAAGCGTTGTCCGGTTCCTTAAAGTATTCATCCTTGAGTTTTATTAGAATTTCCGTAGTAATTGGTTCTTTCTTATTCACTGGTTTTGAAAGAATTCTTTTTCCGCCTTCAAGAATGAGCTGTAAAAAATGATCATCACACGGATTCACACATGATGCTTGAGAATGAATCTCTCTTAATGCTGTAATAATAAGCATCTAAAACTGAAGACGACACTCTTTGCTGGATTACGCTACCGAGAAACAAGGAAACAGTGGACACAGAAGCTGGAAGATGTTGAAAATTATGTTGTGAACACCAACTCTCAAATCATCTGAAGTAAGAATCGTATTTTTGATTTGTCGAGTCCGATTTCGCACACTTCACGACCTGAGGCAACAAATCTACTAGAGCACCCAGTTGAGGATGTTGTTTAAACTTCAAAAATCACACCAATGGCCATGACAGTTCTGCAGTATCTGTCAATATATCAGAATAATAAATGATTAGATACAATTTAAAGAAAATAAGATTCAAAAACTAACAAGAAATAAACGCACAATCCAACATAAATCGGAGTACAGTCCTCCTCTATTGATTAATCAAAATCTACATATAAAGAGAAAACAGTCATCTCTTTTATACAAATACGGTCCACCATACATAATTCTAAGTATATTAAGAGAAAACAGTCATCTCTTTTATACGAATATATTCCACCATACATAATTCTAAGTGTATTATAAGAGAAAACAGTCATCTCTTTTGGGAGTACAGTCCTCCACACGTAAAAGTTCTGTTCTAAATCCATCATATTATTATTATGAGAAAACAGTCATCTCTCTTTTTTTTTTTTTTTTTTTTTTTTTTAATGTTCATATGCACATGCAAAATCCTAAGTACTAATGCGACGTTGCATCTATTTTTAGCACAAATACATTACTATTAAACCTTTCTGCAGCAAATATACTATTTCTGTCAGAACCTGCGCTGAAAAAAATTTGCAGGTTTTTCATACTCAACATATTTCTTAATAAACCATCTAAATTTTCCTGAAATATCAACAATAGATGGCCAAAAAACAGAAGATTTCCATTTAGGCACTACTAAAACACCCTTAGCACCGCAATGTATGATATGGTTAATGGATTTGCTTATCAAATGTATCGGAGGTACTAACCAACTTAAATCCTGAGACCAGTCGAATGCAAAAGCATCAACCCCACTAGTGCCTGGCGTCCAAAACTGGGAATAAAATTTTTTGACTTTGAAATTAAAAGAGCTAGCAAAAGTATCGCAAGTGAATGGTCCCCAAATGTGATCAAAATATTTAAAAATACTCTGATTTACACCCGTCAAAATCTAAAAACTTGCTACAAAAATCAGCTTCTTCGTTGTGTTCTCTGGGAATCCACGCTACAGATAATTCTATGTTATTCAAAAGACACATGGCATAAATAGAAAAAGCTAATTTTTGCAATTCATCTTTCATGCTACCTGTTTGTGCAATTTTAATTACATTTTGATTATCTGAATATAACTTCACAAATTTGTTGCGCAGAACATGACTAAAAGTCTTGATGAAAAGAAAAACTGTTTTTAATTCTCTGTATATAGAACTTTGCGTTTTTTCAAAATCGTCCCGATTGCGTGAAAATACTCATTGTTTGAATCAAGCATTACGCCCGCTCCGACGAAATCGCTCGCATCAGTAAACACTATTCTGTCCGGACTTCGAAACCAAGGAGAGATAACTCTATTAGACACGTACAAAAGATTTTCAAGCCAAAATTCTAACTCGTCGGCTGCCGGCTTAGGTATTTCCAAAATTTGGTCTCAAAAAGCTTTTTGAGCAATAACAATGGAAAGATGCCTTGTAAACATTTGACATATTGGACCTAAAGCAAACTTGAAAGAAATTATCGAGCCGACAACAGACGCTAGATCCCTGACTGAAACATGCTTTTTTGTTTTTATGTTTAAAATCTTCGCACGCAGGTTTTCTAATTTGTTAAGTGGAATACTAATAACACCTTGACACATATCCCACTCAAAACCCAGCCAATCTAATTTCTGAGAAGGTTTCCATACACTTTTATCTTGATTAACAAGAAAACCTGCGCGCGATAGATCCGCCTGAATGATGTTTGACATAAACATACAATTTTCTTTTGTGTCGCATAGCCAACCATCGTCTAAGTACATAATTATAGGAAAAGAACAAGCTCTCCAATGTGCTACTAAAGGTCTTAATGTTTTTGTGAAAATGTATCCCGCAGAACTCAAACCAAAAGGTAATACTGTAAAGACAAAATATCTAACAATTCCGTTAATTTTCCAAGAAAATCCTAGATATTGATAATGATCCGGGTGAATATTAATATGATGGTACCCACTGGTCAAATCAAATTTTATCATATAATTCCCTTTTTTCGCAAAATTTAGACCTTCTTTTGTCCCTTCAAATTTAACCTTTCTTTTCTCAAGGAAAGAATTAACATGTCTTAGATCCAGTATCAATCTTTGCTTTTTGTTCGCAGACACCGAAACTGTTAATGGATTCACACAAAAAGGAGCTTGAAAGCATTCCAAAATCAGATCTTTCTTCAAGAGATCAAGAATAGATGTTTCTACAAAATCTGAATAATCTAAAGCAGATTTATTATTTTTAAGAAAAATTGTTTGAGGAGAACTTTCAAACTCTAATCTATAACCGTATTTTACAACATTTAGAATATAATCAGAAGATTTCAGTACATTTTCCCAAAAATGTTGCGAATTTTTTAAACGATCTTTAACAGAAATTGTATTCTTGAAATCTGACTTAACATCGAGCAAGCAAAATTCAGCACAATACTCAACTTTACTGTTTTCTGGGTTCTGTGGAATCTGAGGTTGTTGTGGCCTCGGGAACTCTGATTGGCCGTGCCCTTTGCTGTAGGTCTGTGTAGGGGCAGAATTTTGCGAAATGCCCGGGGAGTTGGCAGTAGGCAAATGACGTTGTTTCCCGGCACTTGGTAGTTGGGTCTGAAGTATGAAGGATTGGCCCTGTTGTTAAACTTTTGGTTGTACCCTGTGTACTGCTGAAATCCCGCACTCCCGCGAAAAAGCTGTCTAGGGGTGAGGCCGTCGAAAATCCCGGGCTTGGTCGACTGAGACTCCTTACTGTAAGGAATGTATCTTCTCTTCTTTGCGGCTGCTCTTGAAATAGCGGCACGGAGTTTAGATGCGTCCTCAGCATTATCAGCCAAATCAGAGTCAGTATACTCTTTAACAGTGTCCCAGCCATGTTTATCGGCTATGCGCAAATTTTTATTTCTCTGGTGTAAAGCTTCTTTTTCTTTGTTAATGATTACAAATATTTCACCAATGTCATTTATAGACAACTTTTTCTCAATCAAATCTAGAGCTCGGAGCCTTTCTTCATTGAATTTGAATTGTATTTTGTTACCTTCGCTCTGTAAATCACAGGAATCAGCACTTTTATACTGAAATTTTTCTTGTATTTCTGATACAATGGCGACGCTTTGTTTCTCTAATGCGGTTTCAATACGCCGGTTGAAAAGTCTAACTGCGTCTGTCGCGTCAAAATCTCTATCCTCGGAATTCCTTGGTTCTAAAGTTATCGGATTATGGACATTGTTCTGTGAATCATTTTTCTCCGAATCGCACATATTCTTATCCTGGACACTATAATGTATCTCCTTGAAATCTTGTAACGAACTTCGCAATGACCAAAAACACGCCTGGAACACTATTTATAGTAAGCGCCAAATCACTCGTGCATGCAAAAATTACTATGAATAGATCGGACATTTCCGTAATACGAAACTCAAAAACGTAAAGAAATTCATTTATGGTGTATTTTCTTCTATTTGTTCGCTTTTTTAAAACATTGTAAGTGATTACAATAAATTTGACATGAGCGATTTTCAATTACAAAGTGGTTAAACCACTATCCGTTCTATTTTACACATATACTTATTTCTTCCGATTTTGAACAATATATGGGTGCAATCACTGGTCCCGAGAAAACTATCGAGATACGGGAAGTTAGAGCGAGTTACGTTCGTTCGTAAGATGTCGGTGTTTCTCTACTAAGCCGCAGTCATGCACTTTTATACAGAAACGTACTACAATCACATGTACAACCCCTCCAAAATCTCAAAAGTTCAACGATATCCGCTTGATTATAAATTATAATATTTTATAGACATTTAGCTATTGCCCCTACTATTTTGAAAAGTGCTGGGAGCAAGTTGTGCGCTGTTGAGTTTTTCCGTAGTTTTACATTTCTTCAATGCGTATAGTGTAAATGCACATAGTTTATCAAAAGTCGGCTAAATTTTATATATTTCCTGGGCATGGAGAAGTTGCTCCCAGCACTTTTCGGGTTAAGAAATTTGTCTTAAAGAAAACACAATCAATTTCATAGTGAAAAATTATCCGTATATCGTTGAACTTTTGCGATCTTTGTATCCGTACATATTTTTTCTAATTTTAAACATGTCACGTGAAAAACAACCTCTGATGTACGTGAAGTCGCGTTGGCCGAACTCGGTTGAGACCCCATACATACATATGCATGTATCTCAAATAACAAATCCTTTTTAAGTAGAACAGAATAGCATAGAATAGTTCTGTTTCGACTATCTATAATTTAGAGAATAAAGTTTGAAACGCAACACATATATCAATTGGATTTATTTTACATGTATTTACTATTTAACTGATGTAGTGAACGCTAGAGGTAATGTTTTTATTAAAATCTTATCGTAAGTACATGTATATAAGTTTTTTTCCCGACAGTTTATTTTTAGAAAAGAAAATGTTAAAGTACTAGTGCCATGCGTCGTGTACTGTGTCGAATAAAAATGCTAAAGTGTCGTGCGGTTTTGCACTGTATCGAATTACCTGGGATACACTGTACATGTATGTGACCTCAACTGCGAGATGAAATATGTCAGCTATTTGCATGATTTGGACAATGGTTATCTTTCTGTTCCTCATTCCGGTCACACAAGCTGCTCAGGATTACGTTTTTGTGTCGGCATGTCCTCTTGGATCCTCAGAATGGCAGACGGAGGCCACACGGAAAAATTGTCAAGAGCCAACGCCCGACTATCTGTGTGCAGCGATAGAAAATTCCCCTGGCCAGTACGGCGAAATTTGCACCAAATATGGTTTATCCCCATCAGGTATTTATGTATTGTTATTATTTAATTTGCATAATGTTGTTGATTATTTTAATTCAATGAGATTTATTTGTTTCGTTTCAGGAAGATCTATTTAATGACATTTGTTAGAATACCTATGTGTCAGAACACCCTAAAGCGAGTGTGTAATTTAAATTTGATGTCTATTTTTGTTGTATATGGAATACCAACGTTGACATAAATAAACGTATGTGAACTGTTATTGGCTCGCTTAAAACTAATAGTAAAAGAAAACAATGGAAAACGAAAATGATCTGCTGAACTGGACTAAGTGAATGAACTTTTTTAATCGGCTGTTTTTTTTATTACTGCTAGTCTAATTAGATCTGGCAATCTAAAGTGTGTCTACTATTTAGTCATCTTTGGTATTAAAATAGTGAATATTAACCAACCAGTCATTACGTTGGGAAGATACCGTAATCAATAGTTTTGATTATAACAATATATTTAGATAACATTATTAATTATTAACGGTATTACATTCTTAAATTCTATATATCAGAGCCCTTAAAGATCTTCATCTGTTAATGCATGCATATTTCAAATTATAAAACCACATTTCTTGTATAAAAATTAAAAAGATTTAGAATGCCAGCCTTACAGTGGATTTTCCAAGATTCTATGTAATTTTTTATTTGTGTTTACACTTTTTTTCAAGGTAATTTACAAATTTCTTTGTGACCATTTTTTAAGCATCTTTTTTTGCTCTTCTATACTTTAGCTTTGCATTCTTACAATCACTTGGAAAATCTTAGTTTCTTAAAAATACGTTTTTTTTTTCTTTTATTTGTATTTTCAACATCTCTTTGCGTGAAACTCAAAAGTTTCTCTTGCACTTTTTAAATATTTAAATTTCACAAGTTTGACTAACTACCGAATTATTTAATTCCCATGTTGCATTTCTGTTTTCCAAATTTCTATTTAACATTTTAATTGTATAATTTTGTTTGTTAATAGAGGCAAATGTTATCCAATTATTATTTCTATATAATGGCCCCTCCTTCTCTCTCTCGTGCTGCCTTAATGATAAAGTGTCCCTCACCCTTGTATTATATAGGGACGTGTGCAGTTCTCAATGAACAGACGCATAACTTGGACTCTGTTCCGTGTGAGGCACCAGCGGGATGTCCAGACAATCCCTACAATCCAGGAGAACTTTATAATTGTGAGTATTACAGCTTCCAAAATGTAAACTCTTCACTGATATGACGTAAAAAATTATTTCTATAATTATAATAGATTTTACTAGTTAATTAAAATATACTTAACGTCTTTTCACTATTGTAGGGCCAATTTGTTTTGGAGATTTTTATGGAAAAGAAAGGTAAATGCAAGGTAGCTCAATTAAGGATTCATTGCCTAGTTTGTTATGTATACCAGGGTATCAATGTTAGTTGGCAACGTAGGATTTGCATAACGGGCGATACCCGTAAAGAGTTATGCATAGCCATGTGTCATTAATGCCCCTGGCGTACAAAACACACATACTAGACAGAGATTCTTTATACTAGTATGTACATTTAAATATGAAATAATAATATAAATAAAATCAAATATGCTGTCTTATAGATTTAAAATACATGTTAATTTTATTAGTCCCCGCCCACTAACGCCAGACAGAAAGACAGTTGCACGAGATTAACATGCATATCAGGTACATGTACTTAACCTTTAATCTGGCAAAAGTTACATTCAGGTGTAATTATCAAGAAATCAACTCGCTTAACTTTCAAAGAATTATCAAAGAGAAAATAATTACAAATGTAAATGATTGTTTATAAATTTATATATATTTTTTTCCAAAAATTTTTAATTTTTTAAAGACAATTTTTAAGAATTTCAACTACAGTCTTTTATATAAAGATTGGATTTTGGGTTTAATTCCAAGGTGTGGTCTGTGTGTATTTCTAAGCCTTAAGGTGTTTTTTCTACTTTCACTTTCTCAGCGGCTGTATTTTCCTGCATAGACTTTCTAACGAATCCCCCCCATATATTTCAGTACATAAATACTATTCCACATTAAAATATACTGTAGAAAAATACAATTTCACCACTAAATAAAACGGTAAAAATGTTTTTGTTTTTTTAAATGATATTTATAGTTTATGCTATAATTAAAATAATTTAAGGTGTAACACGTCATGTGATTTGGTTCAAGATTTAATCCATTTCGTATAACATAAGCTGCCTTCGTTTCAATGAAATCCGTCAAAAAGTATTACTACGCTTGAGGTTACTTAAAAATTTGCTGAATTTGAAGCCTTTTTCTAGAGGAAAAATTGTCCCATTTTCTACACTGAAATCAAATTATAATGAATAATGCTCATTTCAACTAAAATTATCCAAATATAACATAACTTTGGACAGTTTACGCTTTTTTATAAACCGCTTCGCGGTTATTTCAATCTGTCGTGTTTAAAAATGTAAACATTTTGAAAAAAAAAAAATTACGAAATTTCAGATTTCAAATGGATGAAGGGGTAAACATGTGATATAGTGCGTGCAATGTCCTTCTATAATTAAAATAATATTACTGATACCTATATTTTTCCTCTTTAAATGGAGAGAGAAAGCTTGTAGATTTTTTTTACTTGTACGTGCTGCACATGTTTTTCTCTTTTAATAAATAATCTATCATTGCTCTTGACAATATTTACTTATAGAACTAAATCAACCATAAGAACAAAAGTTTATGAAATAACAACAACACAGCTGTGGAATATAACGTTCGTTGCTGCGTAAGTATACTTACTTTGGTTTTTCAAGGGCGTATAATTTACGATATCATCTCCATTCAGGAGTGACAGTGCACTTTGCCAAATCTATCGTTGGTTTTGGATTTTAAAAAAATTCTTGATGACCACAGGCACCTGACGTGGCGTTAATTATTTTTCTTTTAATAAAATATGTAACCCCCGCCTATTATTGGGTAAGGGGGTATATTTTTTTATTAAAAGAAAAATAAGTAACGTCAGGTGCCTGTGTAGATGACTTCTTCTTTTCTAACACATGACAGTACCGGTGAAACACAAGATGGGGACGGTGGACTGGTTACCGGAATCGTTATAATGGTACTGCTCATCGTAGTTGGCTCCCTTGTAGTGCTTTGTATTCTGGATAGGAAATACAACTGGGGCTTGAGGAAGGCCATAAGAAACCGTGTTACAGGTAAAAAGTCAACTACCGTATTTTAATATATTTATTTATATATCATATGCAAAATCTTTTATTTGAAAAAACTAGTTCCTTAATAATACTTTATTTATGAAAAATAGTTACTTATTCAGCAAAATATACAGGTATAAGTAATCTTAAAATATTTAGAACATTTTAAAGTTTAAAGCACACACGTTTGATATATTTTGATAAAATAAAAAAAAGTAATCAAGATGTTATAGTGATGACATTCAAATCAATTTGATAGATCAATTTGGCCGATTACATACTCAGAGAACAGAGAGTTCCATAACAAGAGGTAATTTAACATTAGGTATCATACATACAAGTAAATCTTTCTTGTTCATTTCTAGCAATGAATGTAGTAAAAGTTCTAATTTAAGATATGTATTTTTAATACATGTTGACAATCTATTGGTAAATGAAAATACATTAATCTATATCGTGGAAAACAAGATTTAGAAATCTCATGATTTTTTTAGGATTCATATTAATTACAAAAAAAAAATAATTTAACTTTAATGTTTCCTTGATGCAAATCAATTAAAGACTTATGCTGTACCTTGCTAAAATTCCTCACAAACAAAGTTACATAGCGGGTTCCAGTTAATGCTCAACTAAGCCTCTTTCTCTCCTCACTAAGATATTAACAGAAGTGAAAGAGAAACTTCAAGAGTACTGTGCAACAATATATTCAAGAAGTAGTGTAAATCAGATGTGGATACTTAAAAACTCCAAGGAACTTTTAGACATTTTGAAATTACAAGATTTTGCCAAACTCAATCAACAGCTTAAAAACTTAGGACTTTTCAACTTTATATACAACTATTCCTCGCGATAAATTAAAGTACAGGCTTTTGATATCATTGACAGCTGCTTTTCCAATAAAATGGAACTCATAAATTTTTTTTACTCACCTTGTCATTGGTCATTTGGTCATTATCTTGTTAAAAACATTCTGATTGTACACACAACTACTCTAATGTTGACAAGAAAAAGATGCCTGAGTTTCTGATTTACAATATCTATGTAGTTTTTGGAGACCAGGTCTTCCAACGATCTATTGGAATTCTCTTGGTTACAACTCCTCCATGGCACGTGATCCCACCTCTGACATTTTAAAGGTCCCTGTTTGCTCGGCTCTTATTTTGTTTTATGGACTGTTGATCTTGAATACTGTTCGTTATCTTCATGTATTTCATTTTATTGTTATGCCTAATTATTTCTTGTGAAGCGCGTGCATAATTACAGTGCATTTAAGCCAGCAGGGTTAAGGATTTTTATTAAAATAAGCAAACAGTTTTCTGTAAAACGAAACACCATGCACATTACATTCCGATTCCCCACAAATTACCATTTTATAGTAAACAAGGAAATGTTTCCGTAAGAATTTCGTATTTGATATTTTTAAGATGAAGAACAAGCAAAAAATGACGATGACATAGGAAAGGAACGTTTGCTGTCAAGTAATAGAGGAAATGATTTTCTGCCGCCAGGTACTACATGTATTTATATAATTTATGATGTTATGATTTATGATGTTGTAACCATAACAATATGGAAATAAATGACAATTCAAGCATAAATAATCAATGACTTTCAAAATATAAGTTTCATTAATTTAAAATATTAGGAATATTGTAGTGTTAAAAAGCGCAGAGTTTTGATGAAAAAAAACCCCTGAAAATTAAACAAAGCGTTTTGTAATTGAAGTTCAATTTTAGATCGATTTGACCGATTACCTGCTCATAGAGAAGAAAGTGCCATAACAGGAGGTAAATTAAATGAAACATTGGGTATCAAGCATATTTCTTTTTTGTACATCTGTTTATTTCTATCAATAAATGATGAAAAAGTTCTTATTTAAGATATTCTTTTCAGCAGGGCTGCCAGTCTATTGGTAAAAGAAAATACACATTCATCTATATCATGGAAAACAAGTTTAAATATCTTGATCTTTTTGAGGATTTATATAAAACCGATTGATTAATAACAGTTTCCTTGATGCTTATTAATTTAACACTTTTTTGCTATACCTTGCTAAGTAACTAATTGCTAAGCCCAATTAATTTTTTTTAAGCTTATATCACTTGCCCATCGTGAAGCATATGCATAACCGCTGTGCATTTAAGCCAGCAGGGTTAAGCATGATTTTTTTTTTCAAAATAAGCACAACTTTATCTGTAAAGCGAAACACCATGTTCATAACATCCCAATTCCTCCCACATTACCATGTAATAGTAAATCAATAAATGTATCCGTATGAATTTGATTTTGATATTTTTATGAAGAAGAACAAGCAGAAAATGGCGATGATATCGGAAAGGAACGTTTGCTGTCAAGTAATACACGTAATGATTTCCTGCCGTCAGGTATTACATGTGCATATTATCTCTAATATTCAAAGCATTACGAGACGGAAATAACAATTTAAAGCATTAATAATAAATTGACTTTCATTAGCCTACTAACAGAATAGTTTTGCTATTAATGAATTGCAATATTTATAAGTCGTGAATTGTGATTACAGATACGTATGAAGAGCCATTATCAGGATTAAAGACAACTACAGGTCAGATTATCAAACAGTAAATCTAAACAAAGGACATACAGCTAGCATGTCCGTATACTTGATTTATCTAACAGAATACGATTATCTTGGCATATTCATATGTAAACGGAGAAAGAAAGTAAAGTTATAGTATAGTGGAATAATTTTGCTAATTTCAAACTTAACGAGGCGCAGTCTAATTCGAGTACGCATAACTTTGTGCAGCTATGTTATTTAATGCAGTCATAAGTTCGACAGTTCACCTTTATCTGTAACGCCTACTGATTTACCAACTCAGCCTTTTGAAGCGCTTCAGGAGGAGAATATAGGATGGAATATTTTAAGGGTAGATAGAACAAAATAAAATGAATTGAAAACAGTCCTAAGCTAGTTTACAAAATCTGAAACAACACTAGACTTATAATACAATATTTATAATGACCAACAAGTACAAACAATCCTTTAACAAAATGCATAAAGGCACTCTGTACTTTCTGACCTTCACTATAGAATTTGAATATTTGAAACAATTACCTTTTTTTATAGTTTTTTTTTATTTTAAAAAGATTTCAATTTTACAGTAACAAAGACTATATAGTACCTGATATTAATTGAAATTTCATAATACATATACAAAAAAAACTGTATACGAAAATCATGGAATAAAAAAATCTGTTTTTCCACTTATAAGAATAAAAGCTTTGGTAAAAACCGACGTGCCCAGTTGAAGTGTCACCATATGTAAATGGTTTGTTTGCTCTCTTTAGATGAACTTATCTAACCTTGGCTTTAAGGTTTTCTTCCCTTTACGAAATCTACGTATCATCCTCAAATGCTTCGTGCTTTACGATGTTATAGTGTTCAATATATAGTAAATTTAGGTAATTCTGACAATTTTTTCCTTTTTATTTCCTGATTTTTTTTTTTTATATTTTATGCTCTACAATCAATCTTTGACAAAAAACCCGATAATACCAAGTAATCTGAAATTACAAGTAACCCCTAGTTTTTGCTGTCCTAATTCAAAATGTTTTTCTTATAGGAGATGGTGTACTAGTTTTTGGAGGAACCATTTCACAGAAACTTACACTTCTTCAACGCTATCTCGTTATTTGCCTAACAAAATATGTAGGCATCGAGGAATTGAAAGAAAAAATCATTCTATTCAAAAGTTCTCTAGACGAACATTTTAACGAAGTATTGCTAGAACCCTTACAAAGCCTAAAGTCTTTGAAGGATTATGAAAAAATAGATATGTTGGTAGTTTACAATCTTCTTCGTAATGTTTGTGAACACATACAGCCGCCTACACGGGGGTGGGACTACGAACCAGATGATACTGACTTAGGACTGGGAGCTGATATTGAGAGGGTACGTTTAATGTGGAATAGATACTGCGATGGGAAGACCGTATTTGATAACCTTGATGCTCTATATGGAAGAATGCAGAAAAGATATGGAATTCCTGAGATGCAAATTAATGAAGAGCAGGATGTTGACCAGTGCCAAGTGCTTATAGAAAAACTATCGCCAAGTAAGTGCATGTTATTAACCTATTATTTAACGAAAATTATCTTGAGTATTTGTATATGCTATTTTCATATCAATATCGGTAGAGTTCAATTGCTGTTGAAATATTGTCTTTTCAATATATAAAAAAACGACAATCAAAATATAATTGTATTTATTGATAGGTGTTCAACTAAAGCCTGCATGCGAAGTTAGAAGTGGGATTGTCACTAGAAAACAAATAACGTTGGTAAAGGAAATCCTCAATGAAAGTGGTTTAGTGATTTGTAAAGGTGCAATAGGATGCGGGAAAACTAGTTTCCTGAAATACTTCGATGAGCTTTACAGAAAGTTTGGCTGGGCTGTAAAATGGAGGGAGGAGATGTTGAACAGCCCGGATGTCGTTATTAAAGAAAATGAGAAGGTTCTGTTATGTTGTGATAACTTTTTTGGAACTTATGATAAATGTGCCTCTAGCGCCACTTCAGAAATTATTGATGTTTTGAATTATCCAGAAAAAAATGATCAAGGTGGCGAACTGAAAATCTTGCTGGCTATCCATGATCATGTCTATGATGGGTTGCAGAGTAATACATCTTTAAATATTCTACAGAACAAACGAGCCGTAGTTGACTTAAACGAGTTAACCGATGCTGAACAGATGCTTATTTTCAAAGAGCAAAGAAAGAATGGCCATTGTACCATTGATCTAAAATGCTGGTTCCGGAGGGTTGAGTTTGAATCGCTGAAAAATGCGTTAAAAGGGAATTCAGGATTAATCGGTGACCCGGGTTTAACTTTATTATATTGTAACCATCATGCCATTTTTGCCAACAAGGAAGCAACATTAAACCCTTTGAAAACGCTGTGTTCTTTGTTTCAGAATATATTGTCAGTAAAACCAGATTTATTCAATATTCTTGTGTTCACCATGTTTATTAAAACTCATACCTTTGATGAAGAGATACCAGACTGGGCAGCAGCAGAACCGTTTGGTCTAACAGCTGATGACATCCGGGAAAATATCCGACATCTCCATGGTTACCTTGATGTTTCTGTTGATGGAAGGACAATGAAAATGAAACATGAACTGTTCAGTATCACTTTGTTCCACGTTTGTGCAAGAGATCCTATCTATTTACCCACCCTTTTAAATCATTGCCACTTTGAGATGATAGAACAACTTCTTCGTCCACCCAACACTGAAACTCAGGCAGACTTTCCCATCACATTGGACGAAACCAATTTCCAAAGACTTATTTCAAGAATAATAAAAGACAATTTGTATGCGAAGCTCAAAAATCATCCTTTCTTGCAAAATACTAAATTCTGTTCAAGTTTGAAAAAAAGTTGTTCAAAAGACGTATGGAAAAGTTTCTTTGCGAATAAGTGATCTATCGTATTATGAAATTTAAAAGAAGCAATCATCAGTATATATTCAATATACTCTCATATTCGAAAAAATCAATATGTTATAAAATTAAAACGAGTTAACTGATGCTGAACAGATACTTATTTTTAAAGAGCAAGAGGAATGAAGGGCATTGTACCATTAATCCGAAATGTTGGCTTTGAATCGTTGAAAGATGTGTTAAGAGAAAATTTGAGATTGATTGGTGATCCAGTTTTAACTTTATTATATTTTAACCATCATGACATATTTGCGAAAAAAAGGGCTACATTAAACCCTCTGAAAACGTTGTGTTCTTTATTTCAGGACTTTTCGTCAGAAAAAAACCAAAGTTTTTCAACATTCTTGTTTACACCTTGTTAACAAAAACTCATACCTTTGATAAAGAGATACCAGACTGGGCTGCAGCAGAACCGCTTGGACTTACAACTGATGACATCTGGAAAAATATCCGGCATATCATGGCTACATTGATGTGTCTGTTGATGGAAGGACGATGAAAATAAAGCATGGACTGTTCAGCATTGCTCTGTTCCACGTTTGTGCAAGAGATCCTATATATTTACCTGCTCTTTTAAATCATTGCCACTTTGAGATGATACAGGAACTCTTTCGACCACCCAACATCGACTCCCAGTCATACTTTTCCATCACATTGGATGAAACGAATTTTGAAAAACTTATTTCTAGAATAATGAAACACAATTTGTATACGAATCTCATAAATCATCCTCTCTTGGAAAATACCCAATTCTGTTCGACTTTGAAAAAGAGATGTTCTGATGACGTATGGAAACTTTTCTTTGCGAAAAAGTGATTTATCATAAGATGAAATTTAAGAGAATGAATCGCCAGGATATATATTCAAAATACCATCATATTTGAAAAAAAATCTATGTTGTAAAGAAATTTGAAATAACATTCTTAATTTTCGTTTTTAGTGTGATCAAAGTAACTAACAACAAGTTAGATACGACGCTATATTTTTACAAAATACTAGTAACTCTAAAAGGGTCTCACTGCAAGTGGAATTTTCTGGATTTTTGCCTTGGTGCATACATGTACACCGTAAACATGTTTCTTCCAAAATCACAAAGAGCAATATTCTCATTTTTTGTAAGATTTAAACTTCAATATTCTTGCTTGTTTTTGGTTGAAAAACTCTGACTTGCCAAACAGAAAAGAGTTTTGTTTGTATTGCATAATGGCTTCATGTAACTTTATATCTAGGTTTTGATTTTTAGATCACCTGAGTAAACTCATGTGACCTATTGCTATCTGTTTTCGTCCGTCGACGTTCGTCGTGCATCGTATGCGTTAACATTTGAACCTTTTTAGCTTCTTCTCTGAAACCACTGAACCAATTTCAACCAAATTTGGCATAAAGCATCTATGGGTTAAGGGAAACACAAATTATAAATTTCATGGTCCCTGCCCCCCTGGGGCATTGGGGGTGGGGCAAAAACCACTAAAACTAGTCCAATCTTTAAAAATCTTCTTCTTTACTCCTGGACATCAATTAGTTATACTGTATGATTGTAATCAGCATTGAGTTCTCTACCAAAATTGTGAAATTCATGGCCCTAGGGTCAGGGGTTCTTCTGCTAGGGCGAGGCTAAACAGGTTATATACTGAAAATGCATTATTTCTTTGAAATTCTTCTTTTCTGTTTGTGGGCATTAAATAAACTAACCAAGTGCAAAGGTAAGTTGAAAATGACCGCCTTTTCCAAAATTGTGAATTTCATGGCCCCAGGGTCAGGGGTTCTAGTGCTATGGCGAGGCTATATAGATTATATAGTGAAAATGCATAAATTCTTTGAAATTCTTCTTTTCTGTTTTTGGGTATTTAAAATAAACCATCCAAGTGCATAGTTATGTTGAATAAGACTGCCTCTTCTCAAAATGTGAATTTAATGGCCCCAGGGTCAGGGGTTCTAGTGGTAGGGCGGGGCTATATAGATTATATAGTAAAACTACAAAAATTCTTTGAAATTCTTCTTCTCTCTTCATGGGCAATAAATAAACTAACCAAGTGCATCGCTATGTTGAATAAGGCTGTCTCTTCCAAACTTGTGAATTTCATGGCCCCAGGGTCAGGGGTTCTAGTGCTAGGGCGGGGCTTTATTGAATATATAGTGAAAATGAAAAAAATCTTTAAAACTCTTCTTTTCTTCACCTGAGCATTTAACCCAATGAACTATGTACAAAGTTATGAGGAAGAAGGATGCCTCTTTGAGATTTTTGAATTTCAGGGTCCCTGGGTTAGAGATTCTTGTGTTAGGGGGTGGGGGTTGGGGGCTCTGATGTTTATATAGTGAAAATGCTTGAATTCTTTGAAAATCTTTTCCTTTGTTATTTGGTATTATGCCAATGATCTTAGTATATATTTGTGAAAAAAACCTTTTTCTTCCAAAAATTGTTAATTTCCTGTCCCCTGTGACAGAGGTATTCTGAGGTGGTGGGAGGGTGGGGGGGGGGTAACATAATCTGAAATAATTAATGCTTTGAAGTCTGCACTTTGGTATTAATCAACAGCATGATGAAATAAATTGTTCAGAAAATTCCAAAATTTTGGAAGATGTGTTCCCAGGGTCAGTGGTTCCTGTAGGATGGGGAGCTCAACTATGGACCCGCCCTAACAGAAGAAACCCTGACCCAGGGGCCATGAAATTCACTAAAAGTGGAAATGCATTTTCTCTTTGTTACTCTGATCTACCTCTGGGTTTTAAGTAATGAGCATGCTGAGTGTATAATTATGATAAGCAAGGGTGCCTCTTACAAAATTGTGAATTTCATGGCCTCTAGTTTAAAACATGAATCAAATGGAAAGTTTTTGCATGATACTCAGGTGACCTATAAGGCCCATGGGCCTCTTGTCTTATTTACACGGTATGATTTGCAAGATGTGGCGAGTTACATCTTACAAATCATACCGTGTAAATAGGCCTTTGTTCAATTGTATAAATCTAAGCCTAGTATTTTCTCGATTTACTTTTCATATATACTGATCTTCTAGCAAAAATCTTTAAAGAAATCCAATTTTAATTTATTTTGTTACCCCCCTGAACGCGCTTCATGAAATATGCCGGTGTAACGTTGAATTTTGACCCTAGTTGAAAATTCACCCGGGGTTCATTTTTCAACGTTGAATATTGATCCGAAAGAGTCTTTTCTTCATTGAAAATTGAGACCAAAAGTCCTTGAATTCATACCCGGTTTCATTTTTTAACAGCTTGATAATTTATTTTCTTATCCCTGATGACATCAACAAGTTGAAAAGTGACCTGTTGAATATTGATCCCACCTTAGAGTTTGAACATTTTTGAACTGAAAAGAATTTTGTTAATATTATAATGTAAGAATATAACTCAGGCAGGTAGCAACAGGGGGGGGGGGGGGGGCAAACGGAAAATGTAGTATAATACTTGGTGCTGAAAGAAGTGGCATTGAAAAAAGTTTACCTTTACCACCCCCCTCCCCACTCGAAATAGGATTTTCGACTTTGGGCAAGGTTTGTTATGCTTGTCAACTTTTTTCAGGCCCCCCCCGCTTTCAAAAACGATGGCTGAAACTAAATTACTGAATGAAGTGTGTATTGGTTACATTGGTGTCGGAAGCAAATTGAAAGTGCAGGGGTCTGATTGAAAAAGAAAAAAAAATAATTAAATATATGAAAAAATTGACAAGGAAATAAATCAATTGTTCAAACTAGTAGTCCAAACCCGATAATCCTATTTCGGGAAGGGGGGGGGGGGATGAGATCCAATATTTTTTTCAAGCACTGCCATCTACTTTCTTTCTGTGACTACACTGTAACGTGCTTGTTGAAAGGGGGGGGGGGCTAAACCAATTTCACTTTGTTCAATGGCTATATCATGTCTGTCTTTGCAAAGAAAAGGGGGGCTAAGCATCCCTACCCCCCCCCCCCCCGTTCCCAACGCCTATGGATTAAATAACATTTGTGAAAACCAAGTCATAAATATGTTTTATGCTGTTGAATTTAGACCTGGTTTCATGATCAAAATTCCAGGACCCGGCTCAGTTTTCAACGGACTAGGGTCTAAATTCAACCCCTTTGGCCTCAGTATTCAACGTTGAAAAATGACCCCAGGATCAATTTTCAACCCGGGTCAAAATCCAACGTAACACCGGCATGAAGCATCGTAGATCATAACCTCATGAATCTTCAAAAATTGAATTCATTTCTTAATTACCTTTGTTTACATTTATTGCACTTACGCGTATCTGTGTTTATTTGTATACTGTATTGACGGTAAGTTTTTCCTGTTTTCTTGTCCTTAAAATTTGCTTAAATGTTGAATTATTTAAACAATATTTACATTTCCAATAAATTTCCCCTATGATTCTTTACAAAATAAATTTCATGAACTACATTACATATGTACCAACGAATAAGCATGAATATCTCCTTTGTTACGTCATAATACCGCACTTGACGTCAAAAAATATAGTGCACACTGTTTTGCTTTTAAAATATAGTTGGATAGCGTTAATTTATGACAAGGCATCAGAAAAATAATGTAAATATAAGAAATGAATTTATTTTTTGAAGATTCATGAGGTATATGAACTACAACGCTTCACGCCGGCATATTTATCATGAAGCACGTTAAAAAAACGGAAAATATTTTTAAAACATCCCCCAGTGAAGCAAACATTATACAGTTCAGACGGACTGATATTTCACAAATTCATACCAAAGTTTTTTTGTGTTTCAAGGGGCGGGGTATGTAAATATAGAAAAAAAACGACAAAATACTTGTTTTTTCAGCAATATTCGAGTTGTTTACAACTAAATAATTCGTGTTTGATTTTAAACGTGTAAAACATGAGAAAAAATTTCCATAAACATTTATTTATAGCCAAGACAATTTCAAACTATGGTGATGCTATAAAGCCTGATTTCAGTGGAAAATATTGTCTCGCCCCCTTATTTCTAGAGCTGGAATTATGAATAATTCACTATTTATCACTGATATTAAATAATTAATCAATTATCATTGAACTGTTCTTTGTATAAAACATAGATTTTATGGCCAAATTGCCATCAATATTGAATGAAACGGTTGTTAAACGAAGGCAGGAATCGAGAGTTAGAGTGCACGGTTTTTAATATCCCATGTAATGCAAAAAGGCCACACAATACTTCACTTCCATTAATTTGCAGGATTTTTTCCAAAGTGAGTATTATTTCAACTACTTTTTATTACCATGATTATATTTTGATTAGATATGAAAAAGGATAAAGTGATTAACTTAAATATCAATTTTTTGAATGCAAAATGGTCAAATTATTTTCACTGTTGCTCAGTAAGATGACACTAACCAAACAAATTGTCTGTGACTATAAATTGATCAAACAAAAATTAATGCAATCTAAATACAAAGTCCAATAAATCAATTCAACATTATTTTTAACGTCTTTATTAAAGCATAAACTGTTTTATTTATTTTAAGATATTCAAAAATTATTATTTATGAAAATGAAATACATCGAGATAACGGACTGTATTCTAGATCAAAAGTCCAATAAACAATACAAAATACGTGGAAGAGCAGAGCAAACACGGACCTCTGGAACAGTAGAGTGTCATAGAAGAATGAGCTTCATGTCATGATCGGGAAAATAGCGGGAAAATCCGTCGTCAATTAAGTGTGTAAAAATGGATTAATAAATAGTATGAAAAAAGTCAGACAGCATTTGACTCAATGGTGCATTGTATTTGCTGAAAAGGTCATTTTTTCGACCGAAGAACTTACGAAACGAAGGCTTTAAACGTGACTGCATGATGATATTCTTGTTTCATCAACTTGATTGCCAATAGTTTATCTCGTTTTAGATATTGTACACAGTTACGTAAAGGACGCTCTAGCGTTTCGAATCTACTGAGATATAAACTTCATACATAGGTGATGATATATTGTTGCATAATTAAGGGTAAAGTCATCACGTTTATCATATAGCTTGGTTGTTAGATTATCATTAACGCCTTATTCAAGTAAAATATCCAAATATGAAACAGATGCGTCAGTCTCTGCGGTAATTTTTATCTCAAGCTCACCGGGATATATCGTAGAATGGAAATAACCATTGTTAATTGTGTAAGATTTTGTATTCAAATTCTGCTTCTTATGAATACAAAATGGTGTGCTAATAACTAGGCGCAATTGGAATTCCAATAGATTGTTGGAAGACCTGGTCTCCAAAAACTGTATAGATGACAATCAGAAACTTTTGCATCTTTTTGATGTCAACTTCAGAGTACTTGTGTGTACGATCAGAATGTTTTTTAATAAATCAATTTTCCAAATGACCAATGACAAGGTATTAAGTTAATTAACGAGTTTCATTTTTATTAAAAAGGCACTTTAACAAGTCAATTTTTCAAATGACCAATGACAAGGTAAGTTAATTAACGAGTTCCATTATTATTGCAAAAACAGCTGTCAATTATATTAAAAAGCCTGGACTTTAATTTATCGTGGGGAATTGTGTACAAAGCTGAAAAGTAAATACGTTTTTAAACTGTTGATTTTGGTAAAATCTTGTGATTTCAAATTGTCCAAGAATTTGTAAGTATCCACATCTGATTTACACCACTTCTTGAATCAATTGTTGCACAATACTCTTAAAGTTTTCCTTCATTTCTGTTAATATCTTAGTGAGGAGTAAAAAAAAAGGCTGAACATTTACTGGAATCCGCTATGTATCTTTATTTGTTCTATATTTGAGCATTTTCTTAAACAAGGTAAGTTATTGGCAAACAAGTCGATGAAGCAAGAATATCATCAGTCTCGTTTAAAGTCATCATTTTGTATTAAGTTCTGTGGTCAATACAATAACCTTGTCAGCAAATACAAACCAATAAAAAACACTTAAGCTTTTTATGCGCGAAAAATATTTTTTGCGCGATTACGCTAGACTGCGCCCTCGCCAAATTTTCATTCTCGCGTTAATAAATAAGATTACATTGTATATACAGCAAAACTCGAAATTCGTAATAATTTTGTCTCCCTATTATAAGTTTATGAACATGATTTTCAAATTTGTAATTAAAAGTAAGGGAGAAAATATTTTAATTGTAAAGATGTTTTAAGATTTTAGATTTACTTGTTATAACACACGATTTCGGTTGACCTTGTTTTATTATCTTTTTTGTATTTATCAGTTTATATTGCAAGCCTGAAGCATATAAGTTGCACTTACTGCTTGTATCTCATTAACACAGAATTTTTCAAATCTAAATGACAGTGGGTAAATATTATACATTTGCCTTTGTTCCTGAGCAAACATGTACAACAGTGGAACGTTCTCTGAGTCTTTGAAGATATAAAAGAAGTTTTTTTTGGTCTCCAGCACTAAAATCAGGGGTCGGGGGTTGTAGGTGACAGTTAATCATAAAACTAAGCACACCTCGAACACACGCTAATGGGCTAATGTACTAATACTAATCGCACTACAGTAGTGTGACATGAATGAGTTCGCAAAATGGCCGCCGTTGTAAACGTAAATAAAAAAAAATGTCAAATCTTTAAAGGTGTTTATAAATCAACGGAAGTAAATTTTCTAACTTTAAAGGCTCAGTATTTGGTAATCTGTCCTCTGGATCGCAGCACAGTGCGTATTCTCCTCGGCAGACTGTTATAGAGACTTCTAATGTAATGAACCGGGAGGCTACTCCAAATGTCAGACACAATGCGTTTTAGGTCATTACTGTTTTTGATTTCATTTAAACGTTGAGTAATCTTGTATTTTAGAACTTTCCATATGTTTTCTATTAAATTAATGTCAGGGCTTTGTGCTGGCCACTGAATGGTGTTACTATAATTCTCTGCTTTCCACTGAAGAGCTCGATTCGAAACATGACAAGGCGCATTATCGTCTTGAAATATCCACTGCCGGTTGGCAAAATGTCTCGTAATAACTGGCCGTAAATTATCATCCAAAACGGAAATATATTTAGTTGTATTCATATTACCATCCACTGGTACAAGTGTCCCAACACCAAAGTACGTAATACGACCCCAAAACATCACTGATGCCTTGCATGTTGTCTCCCTGTCATCCATTATACCCAAGCAATTCGGACGCATTCTCTCGTCAGATCGTCTCCAAACATAAATTTTTCTGTTGTTTCCAAGTACAATTTTTGTCTCGTCACTAAATATAACTGATGACCAGTAGTTCTTTTACAAAATGTAATCCTTTTCGCTCAGTTAACTCGAGAAATCGTAATGGTTTTGGAGATGGGGTGACATTTGTAACCATGCTCAAACAATCTTCGACGTACTGTTCGTGAAGATACTTGGCATCGTGTTCTTTCATTTAATCTACTCGTAAGATCCTTCAGAGTTTGTCTATTATTCCCTTTCACAATTCGAAGAAGCACTCTAGCTGTCATCCCTCGCAGTTGTTTTTCTAGCATCACCAGTTCTCGGCATGTTTTCTGCATTCCCTCGCTTTCGTACATGTACCCTCTTCAAAAATTTCTGTATTGTTCGGCAATTAATTTCAGTCAAATTCTGAGTTTATAGCTTGAATTACCCGCAGAAGATAAATTAATTATGATTTCTTTCTGATCGGGTGTCATTTCTTTTCCGTGAGAAGGCATGTTTCCAGGCAGACGATAAATTTGTTTACCAAAGGGGAATAACCCAAAAAATCATGAGATACGATTAAAAGGAATTAAAATTATTTATTTTGGATAAAATTGGATCGCGAATGTTAAATTATCGACGCAGAAATACATAACAGAAAATCGAAGCGAGATCGGAAGCTGTGACCACGACGACATTTTGCGAACTCATTCATGTCATACTACTGTATTTGATAGAAACTCCCCCTTTTCATTGATTTGATTTGAACATATTTTATTGTTTAACACAAATGGATCAGAATCAAGTTCTTACAACTTACAAGTTCTTCTCCTGGTGTTAGTAAAGTTTATACAGTTAGTATATAATTGTCATAATAATAACATAGTAAAGTAAATAATATTGGCAAGTAACATAAACAAATTGAAATGTTAATTAATTAAATCTTATAGATTAATTAATGAATCTATGAACTGTTGATTATATAAAACAGTTCACATCACAAGACAAAGTATCAGTACTCCATAACAACAGACGTTTATTCAACAATTGCGTTTTTCTTTATTTATTTTTTGTTTGCACTATTGGGCTTCCGTTGTGTGCGAACTTGGATTTACCAGTTTTCTGAATAGGAACCGAAAGTTGTTTAAATTGCTTTCATAATATATAATTTTGACCCAGCGTTTCAGATGAAATGGTGTCTTTACTTTTTCATTTTGCAACCCTTTTTGTATTACTTTGTTTTCTCGAGGCTGCACAAGACTTTCAGGAAGTGTCTGATTGTCCAAAAAATGCAGATGCTTGGAGAATTGCATCGGACAAGAAAAATTGTCAGGGAGACACGACCGACTACTTATGTGCAGCGATAGAAAACAGTGTTGGTCGCTTCGGGGAAATATGTACTAGATATGGACTACAATCTGCCAGTAAGTAAAAGTAAGCAAATGTATAGTAAAAAGATAAATTACATTGTCACTAAAACACATGATTGTATTTATTTCACTCAAGACCTAGAAAGGTTTGACTTACGTTATCTAAAATGGTGGTAGGTTATCGATATTACTTGGTTGACACAAGAATTTGTACAAGTTGAAAAAAAAACCCAGGTCTTGACGATTTCCAAATATGGAAATGAAGAACAACAATTGAAAGTTGCTTTAAATATAGATCCTGTACATACAATTAAATTACTTTTCTGTCCAATTAGAAAACAGCATTTTACAAACTCAAAAACATCTCAAAAGAACAAAAAGATAACACGTGCTTTTTTCCCCCATAAAGATTTCAAACAAAAAATATTTAGAAGAAAGATGAAAACTTGAGTGCCGAATAATAATTAATTCATTATACATGAATGCCTTTTATCCCAATGTCTCATTACGCATACCAGAAACTGCATGGACGATTTTGTTATAAACACTCAAAAAATAAAGACTGTTATCCATTCGATAAGATTTTATGTCAGGCTCTAAAAACGGAAAATTTTCCGTATTTTTATAAGATTTTTAACGTAAGTTAAACTTTTGCGATTGCTACCTTCTAATGACAGATTTTTAATCCCACTTACGAGAAATCATATTCTAAGCTTTCAAGTCGTGATTGTCCACGGTAGAATTGCCATAAATATCATAATAGATCTATTCCTAAATGTGCAAAAAGGTTTTTTTTAAAAAGTTTGTTCTAAAAAAATCTTTTGAGCAAAAAACTTTGAAACCATGTGTTTTATTTATGTTATCATGGGTTTGTTTACATGCTGTTATAGATCTTCAATTGGTCAGATCGAAGGACTAGCACCTTGTTTATTGTGTGTATTTATAGCAATTCTCGGTTATCGCTCTTGACTTCTTTATTTGGAAATAGTCCAGACCTGAAAAAAAATCGCTCTATTTCATATCCGGAAAAATTTGCATAGCGTTTCCGACATTATTTTAATTTCATTCCCGACATTATTTTACTTCATTTCCGACATTATTTTGTTTTCAACACCGGAATTTACCTGTGCGGCAATTTAATGTTTTCCAAAAGAGTGAAAATGGAAATTAAAAGATCTTATTCCAAAATACTGATTAAAAATATAAAAATCCATCTATTAAATATACGATAATACGTATATGCATACATGTACATGTAGCATTAAGTCTAGGTACATGTAAACGTGTTCTATGAGCATACAACTTTTTCGCCACATTTAATATGCACTAAATTAAATGTCAGTGACAGCACCAAACTTCTGTCCAAGGCACTTGATCTACTCTAATCGAGTTTATACTGCGGTTGATAACGCACATATTATACTGCTCTACACAGAACTTTAACTGTTGTCCTCCGCTTTCGTAAAAGCGTGGTTACATTAAATCTCATTCGTCTGTCCGTCTGTCAGTTGGTCAGTCTGTCCGTCCGTCACAAAAACTCTCACTTATGATTTAGTGGAGATATGACTTTCATATTTCACATATTTTTTTGTGACAAGACCTTTCTTTGGTTACCTTTTGGCCTTGGAGTTTGACCCACATTTGCAAAAAAATTCGAAACTTTTACTTTGGCCGTAATTTTTGAACGGTAGATAACTTTCAAATTTTATATATGTATTTTTTGTGGCAAGACCTTTCATGGATACCAAAACTTTGACCTTTTGACCTTGGAGATTTTTAAGTACTTATGAGAAAACTTTAACCTTGACCATAACCTTTGAAGAGTTATGTCTAGGGCTTTTTATGCTGCAGATATTTAATTCTTGTGGCAAGACTTTTCAGTGAATATCAAGAACTTTGACCCTTTGACCTTGATCTTGGAGTTTTACCTTATTTTAAAATAAACTCTAACCTTTGTCACAACTTTTGAACGGTTAGGGCTAGGGCTTTCATATTTCAAACATATTCTTTATGACAAGACGGTTTATTGAAAAATGCTTTAACCTTGGCCATAACTTTTGAACAGGAAGGACCAATGCTTTCATGCTTCACATATTTAATCCATGTGACAAGATTATGCATCGAATATTAAGAAATTTGACTGCTTTGACCTTGAAGTTTGACCTACTTTTTAAAAACTTTAACCTTGGCCGTAACTTTTGAACGGTAGATACTACGAGTTTCATATTTTATATACGTATTCTCTTTGGCAAGATCTTTGACTGGATACCAACAACTTTGATCATTTGACCTTGGAGATTTACGTGCTTATGAAAAAAACTTTAACCTTGTCCATTACTTTTGAACTGGGGCTTTCATGCAACACATATTTAATTCATTTGACAAGGCCTTTTATTGGATACCAAGAACTTTCACTCTTTGACCTTGGAGTCTAGCCTACTTTTAAAAACTTTAAATTTGACCATATCTTTAGAACGGTTAGGTCTACTGCTTTTATACTTCATATATGTAATTTTACTTGTTGCAAGACCTTTCTTAAGAAATCAAAAACTTTTACCTTTTAGCCTCTGAGTTTGGACTTCCTTTCATAAATTTTTCCACGGCCATAACTTTTGAACAGAATGGTGCTACTACAGTGTATAGGGCTTTCACATTTCACAATCGTATTACTTATGCTTTACTTTGGGTACCAATATATATTTAATTTGCATTTAAGAAAAGTTTAATCTTCGCTATTTTGCCATACGGGGGCATCAGTGTTTCACAAACACATCTTGTTCCTTATGATTTTTGATTGAGAAGAGATAGAGTTCTCTCATATTTTTTGACATCTGCATAACCCGTGACAAGATATTTCCAAACATGTCATTATTACTTTACCCTTCACCTTGATCTTCTCGATTGACCTTATTTTAAAAAAATGAACTTCGCTGATAATTTCAAAATGACGTATGATAGGGCGTTCTGATTTGACACAATATGTCATAAAAATGACATCCCACCCACAAAAACACCGAAAGCGAGGAACCACAATTCTTTTTTTTTTTTTGTTATTCTGCTTAAGGGTTTGCTTTTGTGTTCAGTCAAGTGAAACTCGTATAAAATAAAAATCTCAATATTTTAATAAATACTTCTTGCCTTTTTCATAAAAACTGACCCACAACACCTTCTATAGCAAAGCTGTCTTGAAATGTATTCAAACTGGTTGTCACTTGCAATGTCTTGCAGCAGCAATGTGCATAATACACTTGCAGGACTGCACAGCTGCAGGTCTAATAAAACAGTAACATGACATTTGTTGTATATGTACAGGTAGTTGAACGTCATGGGTACAACTATTTGTTTTGTTCCTTGCAATTTTATGCGTATTTTTTCTATAATTGTATGTTTTTCACCACCTAGGCATGTCTGCCATGCGAAATCGGTGGGTTGCCATTCCCATGATTCCGGTATTGAAAACTATCGAACATTTCTATTATCTGTTGTCTCTAGTGCCCCCATTACACAAAGAAATTATAAAGAGGTATCTCTTAAAACATGTCCATGTGTTGAAAGTATCGATCGGTATATTTAATATTGTGTTTTTATAAAAGTTACATAGATGTTTATTTCGTATCATAAAATGCTCCTTCTTGGATTTTACAATGGACCTGATCAATTAATACGCGCCCAGTTTTAGCAGTTCCGATTGAAGTTAACGCCTGTTATTCCTTTAGCAGGTAAGGTTATAAAATACTTTTTGTTAAATAAGTATATTAATCTTACAGGTGGAGTGCGATGTCAAATAATTTTAAACACGAAAATTAAGAACTATATTCGCTTTGCGTAGATTATGTCAGATATTAGACGACCCGAGGCGCGTTAGCGCCGAGGAGAGTCTAATATCTGACATAATGGTCAGTTTGAGGCTTATAACTTACTTAAAACATTTCACCACTGTCGAACACTTCCATTGTTAACTTATTGGACAGACACAGGTAAGGTCTCGTTCTGCTTGGATGATTACCTGGCACTGTTCATCAAGTTAGGCCAAAGAAAACCAGTTTTGGTTTTTCTTCTGTCTTTATTAATAGTAGGAATCATCGAGAGGTGTTTTATATGTAATGGTTATAAGCCGAAAACTGTCCATTATGTCAGATATTAGACGACCCGAGGCGCGTTAGCGCCGAGGAGAGTTTAATATCTGACATAATGGTCAGTTTGAGGCTTATAACTTACTTAAAACATTTCACCATTGTCGAACACTTCCATTGTTAACTTATTGGACAGTCACAGGTAAGGTCTCGTTCTGCTTGGATGACTACCTGGCACTATTCATCAAGTTAGGCCAAAGAAAACCAGTTTTGGTTTTTCTTCTGTCTTTATTAATAGTAGGAATCATCGAGAGGTGTTTTATATCGATAAATATGAAAATTAACTTTGTTTAGTCTTATTTATCCGCATTGCGACATTTTTAGCTCTACTGGTCAGAGACCAGAAGAGCTTATGCGATAGTAATGCGTCCGTCGTCCGTCCGTCTGTCTGTCTGTCTGTCTGTCTGTCTGTCCGTCTGTCTGTCTGTCTGTAAACAATTTTTCAAAATGCTACCCCTCCTACAGTTTTGGTCTGATTTCAATATAACTTGGCACACAAGTAGACTACACGAAGATACACAATTCTCTATATCGGTTTTTGATTTCAATGAATGCTGTTGCCGTGGTTACTAAAAATAGAAATTTCTGTGAAATTCTTTCAAAATGCTACTCCTTCTACAGTTTTAGTCTGATTTCAATATAACTTGGCACACAAGTAGACTACAATAAGATACATAATTCTGTGTATCGGTTTTTGATTTCAATGAACGGTATTGCCGTGGTTACTAAAAATAGAAATTTCTGTGAAATTCTTTCAAAATGCTACTCCTTCTCCAGTATTAGTCTGATTTCAAGAGAACTTGGCACACAAGTAGACTACAATAAGATACATAATTCTGTGTATCAGTTTTTGATTTCGATGAACGGTGTTGCCGTGGTTACTAAAAATAGAAATTTCTTTGAAATTCTTTCAAAATGCTA